TGTGTGTGTGTGTGTGTGTGTGTGTGTGTGTGTGTGTGTGTGTGTGTCCCCTACATGCATGCCTGGTGCCCACAGAGGCCATAAAAGAGTATTGAATACTGTTGCTATTACAGATGGTTGGGAGCCACTATGTGGGTGCTGGAAACCGAACCTAGATCCTCTGGAAGAGCAGCAAGTGCTCTTAACCACTGAGCCATCTCTGCAGCCAGCTGTGGGCATATGTAAAGCATTTGGGGATGCTCGAGGCAGGTTTTTCCCACTGAACAAGCTGATAGTCTTCAGTGCCCAGTCTGCAGCAGCTAAATAGTAACATCCCTGAGAGCCTTGCCAAAGCAAAGGCTTTAATGTTTCTCAAAGGAGCCAATTTCCCATGACCGTAAACCCCTTGCCACCAATGATAGATTTTCTAGTTTCTGACAGCAATTTCACTCTCTTGCCACGTTCATCTGGAAGGATGCTTCCTACTTTGCTACTGCAACTGCTAAGGAAAGGGGACACATACAGTCAGCAAATACCCTGTTTTTAATTCATCGATTCCTTTATAGAGAAATAATCCCTATTTCAAAACAAGGGGTTTCTGAAAACAACACTGCATCTGATATGCATGCAGCTCCACACTTCACGATGAAGGCATCCGATACATGTGCAGCTCCACGATGCAGGCATCTAATATGCATGCAGCTCCACACTCCACGATGAACGCATTCTGATCCCAGAGTTCTGTGTCCACTGCACAGAAAGGCTATCCCGTCTCTCAGAAAATGAAGCTGGGACCGGAGAGATGATCCAGTGGTTAAGAACACTTGATGTTCTTCTGAAGATTCAAGTTCAGCTGGTCATGGTGGCACATGCCTTTAATCCCAACACTCTGGAGGTGGAGGCAGTTGGTTCTCTGAGTTCAAGGTCAGCCTGATATACAGAGTGAGTTTCAGGAGAAAAAAAACACAGAGAGAGAAAAGAAACAGAAAAAGTAGACAACCCAGGTTCGATTCCTAGCACCCACATAGTGGGTGACTCACAACTGTCTCCAACTCCAGGTCCAGAAGATTCAGTACCCTCTCCTGGCCTCCATGGGCACCAGGCACAGCAAAAACACCTTTATTTTACAATTGTGGAAATTTGAAGTTAGACATTTTCCTTCCATTTTAGACCTAGTGAAAAAGCATAGAAATAGATTACATATATACCATGTATCCAAAAATAGAGAAGAAAGTTTTCTTGTTCCTGTCACTGCTTTTATAGGGAGTTTATGATGAGACACAATGGCCACCATGCCATTTATGGAAACCATTTGAAGGGCAAATTCAAGGTCTCTTAGCATATTCTCAGATCCATGCAATGGTCACGCTATCAATTTCAGAATATTTTCATCACCTTAAAGAATAACTTCAAATCCCCTACCTGCCAACCTCTCCCTAGGTCCTTCTTCTTTCCCAGCCCTTTCCCACCAGTCTAAATTGTTGGCTTTATAATTTCCTCCATTCTTCTAGAAGTTTCCTATAAACATTCAGTCTTTCCTGATGAGCTTCTATCACATGGTGTTTTCAAAGTCATCACCGTTGTATGAAAACTCCGTTTCTTCCTGCTGTTGGCTGGCATTCCGTCACATGGCTGTCCCACGACCTCACTCATCAGCTGAAGGGTCTCAGGGCCACGGTCATTTCTTGCCTTTATTTGTAATGCTGAAATGATTTTGTGGGCATATTTTCATTTCTTTGCTACTGGATTTTACCCTTTGAGTTGAGCGTGCAATTTCACTGTCTCTTAGCTTTTAATCATGATTCCTCTCTTTCCAGATTTTATTCATTTGTAATCATTTATTCAGAACTGGCTTGCAGCTTACTATTTTGTGAAGATTCTTCCAAGTCTCTTTGCCTTGTGTGTACAGAACAATTAAGTCATTTGTTTTGTGGGCTTTCTTCATTTGGTCCTATTTCACTTTGTTTTATGCCTTGATCTTGTCAAAGTATAAAGCTGCCTAGGGGAAGGTAATGTTTGATAAGGATGCCGCTTTTCCACGTAAACACTACAATGTTTTTGCTGAACGGTTAGTAGAGCTTAGTAAGCAAGTGAGGCCCTGGACTCCATCCCAGTGCTGAAAAGACAAAACACAGCAAACAAAACAACATTTGTTAGGACAAAATTAAGTACTTCATACAATACTCACAATTTCCAAAACTGACATAAGAAGAATTTTCATCTAAATATATGTTAAAAGCGTAAACATAAAACTTCATCTACTTTCCTTACAATGGAAAAAGTGAGATCTGCCTGCCTTTACAGCGGAGGCTGTGATTTAGATTTGTAGTGAGTCATCAACAGAGAGGCTCTTGTCGAAGCTCTTTTGATACACCATGTCTTGAATGCCACCCCTGGTAACCACCCTCCGCTCATCAGCATGCTGGCTGACATGGAGGAAGAGAATGTTTATTCACAGTTAGGTCCGCCTCCTACAACCGGAGGCTTCTGTGGACATGCCACCTGCCTCCAGGACAGGATGGTGTGAGAGCAGCAAGGTGCTGATGCTAGCAGCAAATGCTACCTATGACTCCCTATGTCTTTCCCAATTCTTCTAATTACTTTATGTTTATTTTCTAATCTAATCATCCATAAAGTCCGGTGTTAGATGTTGTAATTGCCTCTCTTCTACTGATGAGATAGCCAAGGCCCAGAAAACTAGTTAGTTTAAGACAATAGCTATTAGAACAGGAGCTTGGGCCTCAGACACAGCGTTCTGGCATCTCACTTAGAAGCTGCCTCCCACACTTAGGCATCCTGCTCCTCTGCCGGAGTCTTTTGTTACTTTGTAATCATTGCTTACATAGCTCTAGCTATTTGTCTACATGAATTATTAAAATTATACTTGACTTGGCACTTTGAACATGTAAAAATTCACCATAATAGGATTGCAACTTTTTTTTCATTTGCCAATTTTATCAATTTGAGTATCTGAGAAAATACGATTTCAAAATGAGCATACCATATTTCAGTCAGTCACAGGACAGGTCAGTAACTCAGATCATAGTATTTTAGATTCGTTGGGGATAAGATCCCTTCTGCAATAACTCAGTAAACTCCATAGTGACAGCACAAAGTCCCCTTAGTGTGCAGATAAAGGGATAATGTCTGTGCACTCATAAAAGATTCTAGCATGTGGAGCCTAGAGAGACAGTTCAGCAGTTAAGAGCGCTTGCTTCTCTGCAGAGGATCTGGGTTCTGTTCCCAGCATCCACATTGGGCAGCTCACACTGCCTGTGACTGCCTCTAGCTCCAGGGGATCCTATGCCCACTTCTGGCTTCTACAGGCATCTTCATGCTTGTGGCGCATCTACACATTGAAGCACATATATATAAATACATATAAAATAAATATTTTAAAATAATTTTAGTGTGAAGCATCTGACAGGGAGATTTGTACTAGAGCAATAGTAAAGTTTTCTTTTTAATCCTTTGTTTTAGTTGCAAGCGGCACAGGATCGACAAAGAGAAGTCATACAGAGTTCTCAGAAGATGCAAGATCGCTTGCAGAAGTATGATTTAAAGGAGCATACAATTAACCTGAGTATTTACAAAGCAAATTATCAGTATAATGTGAAAATCATGTCGGTTACAATAAGGATAGCTCTGTGAAAACCAAGTTGTGTTCCTTAGTTCTCGGGGCACAGCTCGGTGGGATGAATAGGGCTTTGTATGCCCACGACCCTGAGTTCCATCACCACACTGGGAATAAAAAAACTTTGTGATATCTGTTCATCTACCTAAAATTTACACATTCTCTGTAAAATACAGCTAGAAAATGAAGCACTATCTACTTTTCAATTTCTTAAGAATTTAAGTCCTTTGTCATTAAGCAGCATGGTAAAAATATTCACCTGTAAGAATAATTGTTTATAAAACACATTTTAGGTTTCAAGTTAAATGTTCTGAGGCAGAAGGTACACTACAAGAACAAGGAGAGAAAATTGCAGAGCTTCAGGAGCTATGGGCAGGCTTGGTGAGTCGGGTCCTTGCTCACCTCTGTGCCACGTTTGCCTGAAAGGAGCATTGCAGGAAATGTGAACAGCCCACTGACACACGTATTTCATGTATGCCTGCTGGTGGTGAAAATCCTCTTTGCCTTATAGGGGATTTGACTGAGTGAATAAGATAATGATTTTTGATAACCTGTCTTAAGGCATAGTTTTTGTTGTTGTTTTGTTTTGTTTTGTTTTTTGTTGTTGTTGTTGTTGAGACAGGGTTTTTCTATGCAGTCCTGGATATCCTAGGACTCACCTCTGTAGACCAGGCTGACCTCAAACTCAGAGATCCACTTGCCTCTACCTCCCAAGTGCTAGGATTAAAGGCATGCACCAACACTGCCCAGCAATAAATAATATTTTAAGAAAGAATAGTTCATACCAAGTTTTATAGGTAATTTTTATATTTTTTCCAAAGATGGGAAACAAAGACGAACAGCTAAAGAAACTCAACAAAATCATACTATGTCTGAAGTGTTCTTTGGACCAAAAGAAGAGTAAAAATGAAGAATTGGAGAGGGAGTTCACTGAGTATGATTTTAATATTTCAAATCCCTTCACTCACGGTCTTACTTAGCTGATTTTATTAGCACCTAAATATGAATTCATTTTATAACTGTTTTAACAACCAAAAGTTATTGTTTTTTAATTTACTTCAAAAACTCATGAATCAATCTGAAAATTTGGATGCTAAAATATATTTATTTCCTAGTGATCCTGAAAGCAATAATGGAGATGCCTTGGTTATGGCTCTATACATTTCTTCATCTACCTTCAATTTTTCTTTTCTTTCTTTTTTTTTTGTTCTTTGAGTTTTCCTGCATTATCTTGATATTTATCCTCTCTCCTCCTCCCAGATCCATTCTCCCCTTTCCTACTCACTCAACTCTGTACCTTCCTTTTTCACCCATCAATTCTAATCTGTGCTGCTCATAGATTCTTGACTGTGTGGCCTCCCGCTGGCATGTGTTTGACTTCCAGCATCCACACTTTTAAAGAACTCTGACTCTTGTATCCCAGCAGCTATTAATTGCCCTCTCCAGAGTGGGCGGCTTCGTGTCCACCTCCTCTTTCCCTTGCTGAAACAGGTTTGGCTTGATTTGGCTTTTATTTTCTTTCTGCCTTTCTTTTTTTCAATTATGGTATTAAATAGACACATTATTTTTCCATGGGTGTCACCCATTTTTACATGAAGTATACATGTTGCTAAACTTGTTTGTTTCATATCTACATATATAAATATCTGTATGTATCTGTATATGCACAGATACAACTAAAATATTGTCATACCTGGTATCTGCAGAAGTTTGGTTTTAAGACACTCCTCAAATACCAAAGTCTATGGATAGTCAACTCTTGTATGTAAAGTTTTGTGTATGTGTATATAGCTCACACATACCCAACTATTTCTTGTTTACTTTGATTACTGGTCTATGGGTTATTCCTAATTATTAATAATTAGTTAATACTTCATACTATAATACTAAACTAAATGGTTGAAACAATTCGGCCTATGGTTATAGTTTTCATTCTTTATCTGACATAAATACCATAAATTTTTCTTTATATTATTTACCTAAGATTTTAACTTCATTAAAGTACCTTCAATAATTTTAAGTTGAAACAAATAATGTGTACATTCATTTTAAAATAAATAATGTATGTAAAAACATGATAGCTCATACAATCCATTTGAAAAATTGTTAAGCATTTACTATTTGCAAAACTTTCCATACTGACTCTATACACTTTTGCAGAATAAAGAAGCATTTAGAAATAATGAAAAGAAAATTGAATGATCATGAAAACGGAGAATTTAGTTGCCATGGAGATTTAAAATCTAAAGAACTTGAAGTGAATATTTCAGTGGATGTGTTAAAAAATGAGGTAATTTTATTTGTTTAGCGATCAAAAATATAAATCCTCAAATGTTCACACTTGGTGTCAGTGAAAATTAGTTATTTTCCATTGAAATAGTGTTCTGTTGAACACAAGCTGGTACATGCAGCCAAGCAGTACACACCCTCACAAACCACTAAATCATGAATATCAACAATTTTATTTGATTTTATTTGGTTATTTTATTTATGTTGCATGGGACGATCAAAGAAAAGAGGGTCACTCCAAGATGTGATCCAGGCTCTGTGGCAGCAGAGAGGAACAGTTTCAAGAAACGGAACCTCAAACAGCTGTACAAAAGCAAATTTATTGATTGCTACTCAAGAATTGCTTTGGTGGTGAAGCAAGTTCCTCATTCCAAAGCCCCTGATCTAATCTTCATGTTTGTGAAGGAAAACGTCACAGTCCTGCCACTTTAGTCCTTCTGGTGTTCTGTTCGCGGTACCCAGTAATGCAAGACCCTCCAGCTGTCCCAGGATTGCCTTGTGACTAAAGTCACACAAAGGTTGGGAAACTCCTTCAGAAAAACACTCTAAACCACAGGAAACAATGATCTTTTCCGAGGTCTAAGTCAGAAACAACTCTATTACTTAATGTTTGCCCTGGAGACAATGATGCTACTCAGTTTTCGCTCTACATTTGGTAACTGTTTTATTGGGATATAGCTAACGTGGTCATTAACAGAGGCAGGCCAGTAGCATCTGATGCAGTTGCGCGGCTTTCCAAGCACCCTCAGTTGGACCTCACCACCCTCTGAAGGAACCACACACCCTACAGGCTTTGCTCATCCCCCTTCCCTGGTCAGCATATGGAACCACCAATCTGCTGTTCCCATCACTTTGCCTGTTGTGAACTTGTCACATACCTGGATCACAATGTGGTCTTTTTCCTTGGCATTTGGAAAATGCCAAGGTTTGCATTATGTTTCCAGTGTTCATGTCTGTTGTAATCTTACCAATACACCAAAGAGGTGAATAATGGTGAAAAACAGAGAGAGGATATGTAGTCAATGTTCACACTGGGAAGAGGAGCGGATAAAAGGCCGTATGACCCAAGTCCTTCTTCAAACCAGTGACATGACCAAACACTTAGTTTCCTCCTGTTGCTAAGTAGTATCATCCCATTGTGTGGATATACTATACATTTTGTCCATTCCTTAAAGTTGCACTATGAGATGGTTCATGAGCCTTGGGCAAGGGCCTGGAGATTTAAACATACAAACACGCAGAGACACAGGCACATGGGTCATCACTGAAACAAGATTACCCCCATTGCCAGCTTGTATAGGGCTCTGGCCACGCCCTAGCTCTCGGGATCTTTCAGCTGCATGTCCCCTGCCATCAGAGTCTCAGTGCTCAGAGCAGCTGCAGGCTGGTCTGGTGGTCTGCAGTCCCCAATGTTTTAGGTTTCCTTTCATGAATATTTATGAATCAATAGCTGAGTCGTGTGATAACTCTGCTCAGTCTTCTGAGGTGTCAATATTTCCCAAGGTGACAGCAATGGATAAGGGTCACAGTTTCCCCATAGCCTTGCCCATGCTCTTGTTCACCATGTCAAGTGAAAAGCTTTCCATCCTCGTGACATGAAGTGCACATTATGGAGTTTTTGTCTGCACTTACCTATTTACTAAGGGGGTAGTATGAGGATGTGTCTTTTATGTGCTTGCTAGTGATTTATGTATTTTTTTGCATAAATGTCTATGTAGATTCTTTCTCTGGTATAGGAGAAACTGGGAATGGTAAACTAATGTCATAAAGGATCTACCAGTCAGCTTAGGAAGCGTCAAGTCACACAAAGTAGAATTTAGCTGAAGTCACACCCCCAATTCTCTTATCAGGAAGAGCATAGTTCTGCCCAGAAGACAGAACAACCCTGGCAGGGAGCCACCTGGGAGAAGCAAGCCCTGGTCTGTCTAAGGGGAATGTGACAGTATTTTACATTGTAAATCTCCCAGTTTGTCCAGACAGCCAAAGCTTAGAGTTTCCACCACTGTGTAATATGTTTCATTGCCCAAAGTATAACCTGGGGCTGTAAAACTATATAAGCTTAGGGAGTTTCTGTACAGGGTGAGTTCCATCTTGTGTATTAGCCAGAACCAGCTGTGGACTGTTATTAAAGAGGTTTTCCTTGATTGGTCTCTAAGTGCTGGAGTGATATCTCACAAGGAAAGCACTTTCGTTCGTGACGCCTCTAGTTTTAAATTGTGTTTTCTTTTATTTGTAGGAGTCCTTTATTCTGGATATGAATCCCTTATCAAGGGTCTGATTTTCAAGTGCTTTCTTAGGACTTACTATGGTCCCTATGCATAAATGATAACCCCTCATCTGACATACCTCGTCTGTGCTCCCAACTCCCACATCCTGTTTGACGCTGACATGACATGTAATCGAGTATTTTTAAACACATTTCTCACATGCAGGAACACAGATTCCTTTCTTTAAGACATTTGTGTTGGGTTTTCTGAATAGAGTCTCATATTTTAGAAGGAAAAAAAAGGACGGATTATTTTTTTATGTGTATGGATATTTTGCCAACATGTCTGTCTGTGCACCACTTGTGCACCTGGTGACTTTGGAAACCAGGAAAGGGCATCAGCCCCCCTGGAGCTGGAGTTACAGAAGCTTGTGAGCCAGCATAGAAGTGGTAGAAATTGAATTCTGATCCCTGGGAAGAGCAGCCAATGCTTATAACCCTGAACCATCTCTCCAATCCTACCCTTCACTTTCTTCATGGTAGCTTTTCAATCACAACTCTAGCTGCTGTGAGGCCTACTTTATCTGTTTCTGCTTTTGGTGATTACAGACATAAATACCAGTTACAGTCATGACAGTTTTGACAGTGTGCTCAGAAGCACACTGAGAAGCTGTGGGGTTTTGTTTCTTTGACTTTGCAGGTTTAATTTGAGTTCCTTTGTAAGCATGTTATTTAATAGGAGTGCAACTTTATTTTTTGCATGTGGATATCCAAGTGCTTCAGCATTATTTCTTGTTAGAAATACTTTTTTCACACTTGATTTGTGACAGATGCTGAAAATCAATTCCCTTTTATTTGGTGGAAAGATTAAATGACTACAGGATGCTGTTGAATTAAGTCATTCTTGTTTAAAAATGGATGGGTCCGATCACTAGACTTTTGTACTAGGAAATTCTTTCAAAGGCCTTCCTGAAAATCAGTAGTTCTTGTAATGTGGCTGTGATACTCTGGAGAGAATGGCCTCTGTAGGCTCAGATGTTTAAATACTTGCTTCCCGGTGGGTGGAACAGTTTGGGAAGGATTAGGAGGTGTGGCCCTGTTGGAGGTAAACTTAGAGGTTTTGTTCCCAGTCTGCTGCCAGACTCTCCACCATGATGGCCATGGACTCACCCTCTGAAATTGTAGCAAGCCCCCAAAGAAATACTTTCTTTAGTAAATTACCTCTGTCACAATGTCTCTTCACAGCAATGAAAAAATTAAGACAGCCATTCAAATGAGCACAACATCCCCAACTCAGAAAAAGACATGCAACTTTGGACTCCACATTTATCAGATTAATTAATTACAGTCTAATTTCCAAACTCTTGTTCTGGGAGTCTTTGGGATTTTTTTTCTGTTGTTGCTGTTGTTGTTTGACTTTTTGTTGTTGTTTTGTTTTGTTTTTGTTTTTCAAGCCAGGAATTCTCTGTGTAGACCTGGCTGACCTGGAATTAGCTCTGTAGACCAAGCTGATCTCCAACTCAAGAGATATGTCTGCCTCTGCCTCCTGAGTGCTGGGATAAAAGGTGTGCGCCACCACTGCCTGGCTTGGGAGTCACTTATTAATGCAAACCTAAACAACTGAAAACCAGTGTCTCTAAAACTTCCCCATAAATTATCGGCATCAAAGATGGAAGAGGGTGAGATCCTTTACTAAGAGACAATTTTATGAAGGAAAAAAAATGAGACAAATCAGAAGAAAAAAAGCTTGAGGTTCAGTGTAGATATCTTGTAACAAAGACGAGTATTTGTGTGTGTGTGTGTGTGTGTGTGTATGTGAAATGCATCATGGAAGAGGGAGGAGAACACAAACATTCAGTATTAGCTGAGAAGCTATTGGCATTTAATAGCTACTGAAAAAAAGAGAGTCAATTTACTTCCTTTCTTTCTACTTTTAAAGATTTAATTTACTTAATATTATGTGCATGAATGTTTACCTGAGTGTATGTATGTGTACCACATACATGCCTGGTGCCTACATGGATCAGAGGTCATCAGATCCCCTGGAACTGGAATCACAGATGACTGTGAGTCACCAGATAGGTGCTAGGAACCAAACTCGGATCAATTGTAAGAACAACAAGTTCTCTTAACCACTGAACTTTCTGTCCAGACTCAGAGTCAGTTTTCTTTGATGGTGTGACCCCTGGCATATTGACCATGCCCCAGCGCAGGATCCACACTCAAGAGAAGTTGGCCAACACAAACTGGACTCAATGGATTTTACAGGCAGAGAGAGAAAGAATGAGACAGAGAGAGAGAGAGAGAGAGAGAGAGAGAGAGAGAGAGAGAGAATACCAAGTTGTCTGGGTAGGAAGGTGGGGGTGGAAATGTGAGGACCTAGAGTAAAGTGTATATCCTCAAAATACACTTCATGAACTTCTCAAAGAGTTAATAGAAACATTATTTTTAAAAGCATACTTTTGTGATTCTTTGTGACTTTCACAAACTTCAATGGATTACATTCTAACTCTGCTATTGACTATAATGTATTGCAACTGAGTCAGAGTTTCTCTTATTTTCTATTATTATACTTTTCCAGCCTAAATCCTTTTTATACCACTCTATGTGACTTTCTTTATTCATGTAGATTCATGAATTGAAAGAAAAATGGGGAACTATAAACGCCAAATATCTACCTCTGAATGTACAATTTAAATACATTGAGCAGGAGTTGTTATCAATAAAAATAGCACAAAGGCAATACGAGAAGCTCCACAAGGATCAGAAGATTCTGGAAAGAGAAGTGCTAGAACTGCAGCACCAGCTCCGAGAGAACATGGTAAGTCAGTGTCAGGAGAAAATAGTGCAATGGGGGAGGAGGCTGAAGAGAGAAAGTCATCATTTAGAAGACATATGAGACAGGCAAACACTTTTACATCATAACTGATGGGTGTGTCCTCTGTGTGTCTCATCATAGATAGTGTTGGAGATTTCCAGAAGGCAGGTGACATTGGCTAATTGTAGAGGGAAGTTTCTCTCCTGCCTGGTCCCACAGCCATTCAGTCCCAAATAAACACACAGAGGCTTATATTAATTATAAACTGTTTGGCATATTGCTCAGGCTTATTACTAACTAACTCTTACAACTTAAATTAACCCATAATTCTAATCTATGTTTAGCCACATGGCTTGGTACCTTTTCTCAGCAAGGCATTATCATCTTGCTTCCTCTGTAACTGACTTGTGACTGCATCTCTGCCTTTCCTCCTCCCAGAATTCTAGTCGGACTGCCCTACCTATACTTCCTGGCTATTCTGTTTTACTAAACCAATACGAGTGACAAATCTTTACAGCGTATGAGAACAATATCTCACAGTAGTTAATCCCTTTAATTACTTCAGTTTCCATCATTAAAATGCAATTGATCTCTCAGAATAATCATTTTCAACTTTTTAGGCAATTTAGCATAAAACAAGACCACTGGGAGGGAAAGAGAAACTGGGATATAGAACTTTTACCATGCTTCTGAATTCTTAAATTGCACTGTTCAGGGTTTTTGGAAAGTCGAGTCAATTCTATTCCGTGAACTGTTTGATTATATGAGGGTAAGTGTGCAAATGATTCAGAATCAAGACTTGTAGCTCAGAAAAAGCAGGAGGCCCTGGGTTCATGCTCCAATCGGACCAAACAAGGTTCAGTATTGTTTTATGATTGGATTTAATGGAGTCAGTATTGATAACTCTGGTATCTTATTTCACATATTTAAAATTACTCTGGGAATCAATTACTCAAAACTAAAGCAAGAACAACAAGTATTTTGAGTGTTTAGTGTAATTGTTTTAAAAGTATATCCTTTCAATTTTCCATAGGCAAAATCAGAAGATAAAAAACATGAATTGGCACTAAGAGACAGTAATAATGATTCGATAATGAGTCAAATGGAACTCAGGCTGAAAAATCTTGAATCAGAGCTTGAGAAAATGGAAGCTGAAGGAGAGTCTAATACAAGAAAGGCAGAGAAATACAAGCAGTGTCGTGGCAAAGAAAGGGAGCTCAGCAAGATATTATCACAGAAGCTCAGCAAGTAAGCCAGGAAAGACTCACTTGTCTCTAGTGTGTGATTTTCACAGAAACAGACTTGTAAGATTAAGTAGGATATGTAAGCAAGCTGAAAATTATAACTGGAAAATGATGTCAGGAAATGAACCTACACCTACAGTGTGGCTGCAGAACACTTTCCCCTTTTTAACTTTTAGTTGTATATGTTGTTCCCTCCTAATGATAAATTGGTCTTTCAGCTAATTAAGGCAGTTACAGTGTCAGAAAATTATGCTAACATTTTCTCAAATAGAAACATTAACAATTTAACTACTTTAATACACCCAAAGGGACCACAGCAATGACACTGCCCCTCCAGGCACACTCTGGAACTGCACCCATCGTATCTCTGGCGTCACTGTTAGAGCTACCTATTGAACACTTTACAGTTGTTCTGCTGTACATCAAGGCAGAGACCTAGGGGAGGGCTAACCCAGTGATGGACAAAATACCATTCACAAGGTAGTTAAACATAACCCCTGGGCCAGTGTCATCTCTGAGATGACTTACAATGCTAACTGCTCCAGGAACCACTCATTTTCTTTTTTAAATCCTCAGGAGAACCATCTTCCGTCCCAGAGGCTGCTACTCTGAATTTCCCTCTGTACCAAATGCTTAATTTTCCCCCAAGTTATGGGTAATTGTAGACAGTGAGGGCAAAAACTTGAAAATCTGTTCATCCCATAGCTCTTGAACCCAAAGCTGCTTTTACTGTGCACACTATTTCTAACTAGCTTGTGAGTTTTGTTTTTAAATTGTGGGCATTTTGTACTTTTGCATTCTTTTGCTGTGGATCACCAGACAACTGTTTGTTGTGGTTTCCTGTGGCGCAATTGTTAGTATAGTCAGTGAGACAGGACAGGGTTTCTCTGTCTCTGTGGAGCCTCTCCTGGAACTAGCTCTTGTAGACCAGGCTGGCCTCGAACTCACAGGGATCCGCCTGCCTCTGCCTCTCAAGTGCTGGGATTAAAAGCGTGTGCCACCACCGCCCGACTGCAGGTGTAATTTTTAAGAGGAGAAAAAAGGAAGGTCTGTGTTAGAACGGGCTAACATGCGGTGGGATATTTAGATTGGACATGTTAGTTACGTGAACCAAAGAGGGCTTTTGATTGCTGACCTTTGGTGGTACTCATCCTCAGGAATGAGTCTAGCATAAGAAAGTAACCAAATAGGGGAACAGACCTGGATAGTTAACTTTAGGGGTGTAATCTAACAGTCTTTTAGGAAGGCAGAGGAAATGGAGGAAAAGGGCAAGGACTTGCAGAGTCATATATTCAAGTGGACTAATGTCCCTTCAGTCAAGAATATGAGCATAGCAACATCTCATCATTGGCAGGCATTCGTCTCTCTCCTACTTTGGATTGACTTGTTAGCTTGGGAATAGATGTACTTCTTTAGAACAAATCTAAGTGCCCAAGGTGCACTCCAACACATTTTCAGCTTTAAGACATTAGCAAGTGGAAATATGAAGTACTTTCTAAAGAGCACGACTCATTTAGGGAACAAAAGCATAAGGATTTGCCCTTTTCAATCTTCACAGGACTAACAGTAAACTGAGTAAAGTCAGAGCAGACATTCTGCTGGTGACAGAACAGAACAGAACTATGCAGAGTGCTCTCAGTATGAGAACTGTCCCCAAATGTCCTGATGTCACAAACTGTAATACTTGTGTAAAATGCGACGCTAGCTTCATTACAAGCAGAACCCCAGAGCCTTCTACATCCAGCCTTCAGCCTTCGGAGTCTAGGAGGAGAAGTCTGCTCAAGGTAAGTGGTATTCTCTTCTGTCCTTTGGCCTTCCAACACTGTTATCTGATCATAATGTCAATTCTTTTCGTTTGGTGCAATAGTGAACTGTTTAGTTGACTTATGCGAGTCCAGTACAGATCACAATAGTCAGTGTTCTCTAAGAAGAGAACATTTGTTTACATTTTTATGTGTCTGAGCTGAAGCTGCTGGGCAGCTGTGTGCCGGTCCAGGGCCTGGGGGAACTGGTTAACAGCTGGAGGTACTCGGAGTCACATACAGGGGATGGCCCTTTGCTGCTGCAGCAGGATGTGGTGGAGCCATTTGGCTGAAGCATGTGAGATCTGTTTTGGGCTGGATGTCCTGCCCAATGCCAAAGTTCTTAATTAATAATTTGAGAATTTCATACAATGCAATCAAAGTGTTTGCAAAGACAATGGATATCAAAGTCACTTCCCATTCCTCCCAAGTGCACCTTCCCTCCCTTCTGTCCTCCCCCATAAATAAATAAAATAAAAACATCATGTCCAATTTGTGTTGCCCATATATTCAATGGAGCATGCTCAAACTCCCACTGGCCAGCCCCTTAAAGAAAAATGAGGTCTTCCCCATCACACACACACAGAGAAGCTATCAACTGTGAAGAGCTACATTTCAGCATCCCTTTAGCAATTTTTCAGAACTCTCTTCGATTGCTTCCTATCTAAACTGTTTCTCTTTTTAGGGGGGGAGGGGGTGTCACAAAAGACTTCGATGTTATGAGTCTACAGTCATAGATACCACTGCAAAAGAAGTTTCCTTGGTCATACTAGCTGCAGAAACATAGCTCATAGACTTCCTCGTGGGTTTTGGTCGCCAGAAACCTCCAGTGGCTCATGGACCATGGACACCAACATGGCTCCAGCAGAAGCATGGATCACAGACATCAACATGGCCTCCAACAGCAGCATGGATCATTGACATCAACATGGTTTCCAGCAGCAGCATGGACCACAGGCAAACATTTACATTGCCCCCAGTGGCAACACAGACCATGAACATCAACACGGTCCATGATCAACACAATGGCAGCACATATTATTGTTACTTTCGGTCAGGGTGACTGTGCAGCTGGGAAACAATGTTGGGGCAGGACCCACACAACTCCAGCTGCTGCACAATACTCTGCCTCAGTGCCAGCTGTCCTGCCAGCACCCTGGCACACTGCAATCACCATGCTTGCAGCCCGAAGCCCCAAGTTCTCCCCTACTTATAACATGAGGGGGCCTGCTTGTTTGTGTTTTCTGCCCTGCTCAGTTCCCCCAGCTGTTTAGTCCCAAAGAAAAATCAACCACACAGAGATCTCTATAAGTTATAAAGCTGATTGACCCATTAGGTCAGGCTACTTATTAGTTCTTATGACTTATCTTAACCCATTATTCTGATCTATTTTTGCCATGTGGCTCAGTACCTTTTTCAGTGGGGCAGATCACATCCTGCTGCTTCAGTGATCTGGGCAGAAGTGGGAGGAATCAGCTTCCTCTTTCCCAGAATTCTCCTGCTCTCCTTACATCATTTCCACTTCCTGTCTGGTTTTCCCACCTACACCTCCTGCCTGGCCAATCAGTGTTTATTTAAAACATGATTGACAGAATACAGACAATTCTCCTGCACCACCTACTGCAGTATTTTTAGCTAAGTTGGAGCATAAATAACCCTATCCCAGTAGTTCCAACCTGTAGATCTAGTGTTTCCTGGTGGAGTATTAGTTTTCCATATCATGCTAGAATTAAGAGAATTCCATGCTGAGCAGTGGTGGTGTTTGCCTTTAATCTCAGCACTTGAGAGGCAGAGACAGGCATTTTGAGGTCAGCCTGGTCTACAGAGCTAGTTCCAGAACAGCCAGGGCTACACAAAAAAAACCCTGTCCCAGGAAAACCAGTGGAACTAAATAGAAGACCCAGATATTAATCCACACACCTACGAACACCTGATTTCTGACAAAGAAGCAAAAAAAATATCAAATGAAAAAAAGAAAGCATATTCAACAAATGCTGCTGACATAACTGGATATCAACATGTAGAAGAATGAAAATAGATTCGTATCTGTCACCATGCACAAAACTCAAGTCCAAATGGATCAAAGACCTCAACATAAAGCCAACCACACTGAACCTCATAGAGCAGAAAGTGGGAAGTATACTTGAATGCATTGGCACAGGAGACCACTTCCTAAATATAACCCCAGCAGCACAGACACTGAGAAAAACAATTAATGAATGGGACCTCCTGAAACTGAAAAGCTTCTGTAAAACAAAGGACATGGTCAACAAGACAAAACGGCAGCCTACAGAATGGGAAAAGATCTTCACCAACCCCACATCAGAGAGAGGGCTGATCTCCAAAATATATAAAGAACTCAAGAAATTTATCATCAAAAGAACAAATAATCCAGTAAAAAAAAAGTGGGGGGGGATTATACAGACCTAAACAGAGAACTCTCAACAGAGGAATCTAAAATGGCTGAAAGACACTTAAAGGAAATGTTCAACATCCTTAGCCATCAGAGAAATGCAAATCAAAACAACTCTGAGATTCCATCTTACACCTCTAAGAATGGCCAAGATCAAAAACACTGATGACAACTAAATGCTGGAGAGGTTGTGGGGTAAAGGGAACACTTCTGCATTGCTGGTGGGAGTGCGAACTGGTACAGCCTCTTTGGATGTCAGTATGGCGATTTCTCAGAAAATTCAAGAACAACCTACCTCAAGACCTAGCAATACCACTTTTGGGTATATACCCAAAGATGCTCAATCATAGCACAAGGACATGTACTTAACTATGTTCATAGCCAGAACCTGGAAACAACCTAAATGCCCCTCGACCGAAGAATGGATAAAGAAAATGTGGTACATTTATACAATGGAGTACTACACAGTAGGAAAAAATAATGACATCTTGAAATTTGCAGGCAAATGGATGGATCTAGAAAATATCATACTGAGTGAGGTAACTCAGATCCAGAAAGACAAATATCATATGTGCTCACTCATAAGAGACTTTTAGACATAAATCAAAGAAAACCAGCCCACAAATCACAATCCCAGAGAACCCAGACAACAATGAGGACCTAAGAGAGACATACATGGGTCTAATCTACACGGATAGTAGAAAAAGACAAGATCTCCTGAGTAAATTGAGATCATGGGGACCATAGGAGAGGGTAAAAAGCGGGGGGGACAGGAAGGGAGGAGAGCAGAGAAAAATGTATAGCTCAATAAAATCAATAAAAAAGGGAAGAAAAGAAAGCCTGTCTCTAAAATAAATGACAACAGATCCAAAAAACCTTTCTCTTATCAATACCCAAAGATATGTCTGCATAATCACTGCTGAAAAACTTGAAACAATTGCTGTACTGAAATAATTTCCTTGATTGTTTTGGTTTTTCTTGACACTGGGACTTGCTTATAGATTGCCCAGGCTGTGGCAAACGCTCTATGTAGCCCAGGCTGATCTTGACCTATGATCTCCCTGCCTCTTCCTCCAAAGTGCTAAGATTACAGGTATGTATCATCATACCTGGTTTGTTAAGAGATTCAGTAAAGCTTCCGTTCATCTGGTATTTAGCTGTTCCATTTACAGGACTTGTCACTAATGCTGCTGTCACAGAAATGTCATGGAAAGGAAAGATTAGAAAATCTGTCACTGCACCTGTGACCATGTGGGCATCGAGGGCCACCCTGCACCCGTGACATAGTGATCTGAGTACCCTGCACTATCACCTGGGGCCATGGTATCGTCCAGGCAAGGCTGCTGCAGAGAGCCATGTGTGGGGCAATGACCCTACAGCAGCTAGGGTCTGAGTTGATGTCACAGGCTCCTGTTGTCGCTGAGGGCCACGCTGACGACCAGAGTCTGGTCAGCCACCTTGCACCATGTTAGCGCCCGAGGACCATGCTGCCACCAGGGTCATGCTGATCTGGGTGGCTAGTGCCGCCACCAGGAGCCGGGTCTGGATCCATGGCCCTGGGGAGGCTGAGGTCTAGGATGGTGTCCATGGCTCCAGTTGCCACTGAGAGCTCTGCAGATGCCCGGGGTCTGGCCAGCCAGCTGAGACCATGTTGATGCCCAGGGGCCATGCCCACCTGGCTCATATTGATATGAGTGGCCTGCATTGTCCTACTCCTCAAGGGAGGGGGTCCTCCCTGCTCTTCCCCCCACTCAGGAAAGAAGGCCCCACCATTCACCATAGGTGTGCACCTTTCCTAGGATGCACACCAGAGCTAACCCTGCTGTTAGGGCACAGGTGAGCCAGTCCTGAAGGCACGAGAGCTGGAGAGCTGACTCACCCCCGCTTTTATGCTCCCTACAGCAATCAGGAGAGAGGGCCCTGCAACTTGCCTGGGCAAAACAGTAATGCTGACCTTGGTGATATGAGTAAGGGGTACCCAGATCTAAGGGCCCAAGAGCAGAAGAATTAGCCCTCATACTTGCTGTAAGCTGCATTGGGTGAACTAACCAAGGCAGAGAGTTCCTCCAAGTAGTGATGATAGGGGGAAACTAATAAGCTGACCAGCCCAGCTACCACCCAGGCCCAAAACCAAGGTTATGAGTTGGTCCACCCCAACATCCACTGAATCTGTGAACTGTTGGAGCATGCGAAGGGGATGAACCTACAGATCCAAAACAGCAGGATCTCCATGACACAGAATAACAGGTTGTCCATGAGGACCCCCAGTGAGAGCCCATTATCAGTGGTGTAGCAGAAACCAGTGGTGTCAAGCCAGGACAATGACTCATGACAATGAATACTTTTAAGCAAACATGAATGAACTAAAAGGTAAACTGTTTCAGCAGGGCCGCACTTCAGCTTCCACAACAAGATTCTTCCTCTTCTTTCTTTTCTTTTTTTTTTTTTGTTTGTTGTTGTTTTGTTGTTTCTTTGGTTTTTCTTTTAAATTTGGTTTTGATTTGGGGAGGGGAAGGTTGCAATGGCAGAGGGCAGACGCGAAGAGCTGGGGAGAGAAGTGGGATCAGCA